GAATCTTAATGTCATCACCAACCAGACTACAAACGTTGGCAGTTCTATCCTCTGCTCCTTCTCCTCCATTTCACTTATATTTATTAACCACAGAAGGTAATTTTTTAAACCTATATTCTGTTTCTAAGTTTGTTTTGTTTTGTTTTGTTTTGAGACAGGCTCTTATTAAGCCCCTAATGTGTTCAGTCTATGATCAGACTTTGGGTCCTCCTGCCTCAGCTTCTCACAATGCTGTAATGACAGGTATGTGCCACCATGGAATATTTAACCTCTAAATATTTTTACAACCTGAAAAAAACGGTCTAGGTACACAGACCAGCCAAAAATGAGGAAGAGGGGGCACCCCTGCTCAGTAGTCCTGTGTGGATTTTTTTTTCTTTTGGTCTCACACTCAGGCTTGCTTCAAACTCACTATCCTCCTGCCTCAGCCTCCTGAGTGCTGTAATCAAAGGTATGCACTACCACATCCAGCTTGCTTTTTTAAGCCTTAGAAAAAACATTATGAGAATGAAATATATTATTATCTCCATTTACAGAGATGAAAACCAAGATTTAGACATAAAAATCTTGTTCAAGATCACAGTAGCAGTAAGTGTCAGAGCTAAGATTTGAATTCACATCTACAAAGTCTACAATACAAGGAGAATGGTTATTTAAATCTAAAGATGTAGATTTCAGCTACTACCTCTACAAGAGCTAGGTCTCAAAATGTCAACAGTGATCGATAGTCATGGTCTCTGTCTTCAGTACATCAGAGAAATCTCGGACAATCTAGTGAAGTATAATGAAAGAAGAAGTTCTATGGTACTTAAAACAAGAGTGGTACCACATTACCTGACTTAAAAATTAAGACAAACAAGTGGTCTGGCAAGGCTTTCCAGTGGAAATGACTTCCAAGGTGAGAGCTGAAAAATTATTAGATGAGATACCAGAGATAATGCCTCACATCCAACAAGATAGCTACTTTCAACAAAACAAAACAAAGGCCTTCCCATGAGCCAGGGGTAGCCATGGGAATCAGGAACAGAATCAAGAAGCCAAACCACCATTCCCATGGCACAAGCTGGGAGACAAGAAAAGCAAACCCACTCCCTTCTCAGCAAGCAACTGGCTGATTCAGAGGGACTCAGACTGAGAAAAGAGGAACTGAAGTAAAAAAATAACAATGTTTATATTGTTTGATTAACTTTGTAGGCCTAAAGCTGGTAGTCTGAGCATCTATTTGGAGGAAACAATATATATTTTGAAGACAACAATATACAATATAATGACCATTGTTAAATTCCTATCATCTTGTTTTGAAAACAAAACAAAGCTATTGCTTGTTGCTGTAGCTTTGCTTTTGTTTTTATGGTTTGTTGCTTAATTTTTGTTTTTTCTTTTCTCCTTAAAATTAAAGAAACATCAGAAAATAACAACTGTTGGTGAGAAATATAGACAACCTGGAAGCCATGGACACTATTGGTGGGAGTATAAAATGGTACAACCACTATGAAAATTGGCTTCGCTATTTCTCCAAAACATTTAAGAACAGAATAACTGGATGTTTCAGCAATTCTACTTCTGAGCTTATATACAAAAGAATTTAGTAGAAACTTAAAGAGATATTTTCTATACATGTTCACAGTATTATTTACAGTAGCTAAAATGTATCAATAGATGAATCAATATCTAACAACAGATGAATGGATAAAAACTACATAGTGGACTCATACAACAGAGTATCATTCAACCTTAAAAGGGAATAGAATTCTTATACAGACTACAACATAGATGAACCTTGAAAAGAGTATGATAAGTGAAATAGGCCAGTTACAAAAGAACAAACACTATGACTTCACTTACATGAAGTACACAGAAGAATTTAATTTAAGGTTGGGGGCTTAGCTCAGTGGCACAAGCGCCTCCCTGGCAAGTATGAGGTCATGAGTTCAATCCTCGGTACCAAAAAAATAAAATAAATAAAAAATAAAGAATTTAATTTAAAAAGACAGAAAAATATATTTGTCATTACAAAGAGCTGGTAGAAGGTGAAAACAGGGAGACATTGTCTGGTGGGTACAAAATTTCAGTAGGGGATGATGAAAACATTCTGGAGACAGAAGTGACTGTTACAAAACGGTTCGAATGTACTTAATGACATTAAAAATGTTTAAGATGTAACTTTTATGTGTATTTTGCAAAATTTTAAAAGAAAGGTATTCCAAATACTACCAACATTAAGGATGAAGGACAAAAAAAAAAATGACTAAGAGAAAAAAACCCAGACGTACTTATACACAGTTAAATGATTTATAAACTAGATACAATCTTAAATATCTGAGATCACATACTATTCTCCTACTACTGCAACCACATATGAATTTTTAGCATCGTGGAATTAGGACAGAAACAAATATTTAAAATTGCCTGATCAGAAATGAGAGTCCTCTTTCTTCAAATTTAAGAAACTTTCATTAAATCCTAAGAGATCTGTAAAGTTTTTCCAGGCTAAAGATGCAGAGAAATCTTATGCACATTAAGTCTACACCACAGAGTCTGACAGCTTTTTGAAGAGACGAGTAGTACTTGTTGCTTTGGAGAACAACATAGTATAGGGGGTGAGGTTAATTTTTCCTGTGTTCTCCAAATACTTTGCAGCTCTGAGCTCGGGTTGCAGTTCATTACAGAAGTAACTGCTAGCCGTAGTATACATGAGGTTATGCCTGCGGCTCTATTTTCAGGGTATTTCTCATCCATAAAATTCAGTCAGGACTGAAATTTGGTACCTGAAATCCTCACTTCAAAGAATATCTTTTGTGCTTGCATGTGTGTTTACACAATAATAAATAACTTCAAAGTACATATTAGTAAAAGATTTTAAACTATTACAAAGCTATCACTTTGCAATATATTTTTTTACCAATTTTTACCAATATACTATAGTCTTGCACTGTATGATTTAATTTCCAAAGTGAAACTGGCATGTGATTAATTTATACAAGTACATGGCTTTATTACTTACATAATATCCTTGAGTGAAAAAATACTATATAGTGTATTTTCACACTTACTCACAGAGCAAAGTATATAAGAAAAAAGTCACATCCCAAGGTGTCCCTATACCCTAAAGATACTGCCCCCATGAGACCAAAAAAGCATCACACAAGTAAAACTAACAAAGGGGGATGGAGGTTCCAGTAACAACTATTTTCCAAGAAGAGAAGGTAATGGAGACAGATTAGAGTACAAATGTGGTCAATTTGGTATCAAACACAGAACAGTCTATAGTAAAGGGTTAGTGGGGGAAGCAGAGAAAGAGCACAGATGAAAGAAAGAATTTACACATTTTAGTTATGACAATCTGAATACCTACCATACTATAATTTTCTAAACTCAGGAATCTGTACTTTTTAGACCTACAGGGCATGTATTCTACAAATGTTGATAGACCATCACTTGATGGGAAAGAAATGCAGCCTTTTATGCTTCTTGTTGATCTTCACACCGGTCACTAAACAAAAGCATGGCATTTCTGAACACCCACAATTACAGTTAAATGAAAGAAGGTGGTTTGAGGGAGACAGAAAGATAAGAGGCCAGCCCTAGCATAAACCAACCACACAGAATCAGCAAAACATATCTCTGGATTTGTTTTTCCATAAAGCAGCAGCAGTTAAAAATTCATTGTTCCTGGCTGGTCTGAACCACCACTTACACTGTAACACAAACTCATTCGCTTTCTCCTTGTTATGATGTTTTTGGCTTGATTTACCTATAACTTCATTTGACTCACCTATTCTGGTAGGAACGCACTATACAGTCTAAGATGAAAGATGTTTCTATGATTAGTTAAATATATCAGACTCTGTAAAGGAGATAAAATAGGGGAAGGGGAAGACTTGAAAGTTTAGGAGAAAATTTTACATGTCAATATCACATTAAACCTATTCATTTGTACCAATGTCAGTACCCTCTCTGTTCACCACCAGAAATCAAATTTAATCTGTTTATTTTAAGCTGATTTATGTGGTTATAGCAATCTGATTCTTCCAACAACAATTAAGTGATTTTCACCTTTGTCCCTTTAGAACATGTGATAATATCGAAAGCAATGCCCCTAATCAAGATGTGCACATTATAAAGCAGAGCTGCTCCCCTAGAAGTTGAAGGTATATACTTTTTACAAGGATGATGTTTCTAAGGAGTCATTGCTCAAGTCACACTTAGCTTCTGTCACATTCCAACAGTAGGTCGAGAATTACAGGCTTAAAGTTAATGATTTGAGAATACCAGAGATTAACATTTTGGTTTGCTTTTATGTTCTTCCACTCTGTTTCTGATTGTTACCTATTAAAAGTTCATAGTAACAGAGACTATCCAAATGGATCACTGAATTCACAGCAGTCAAAAGGAACCTAGAATAATTCAAACATTCTAAATATATATTCAGTGTTCGTGCTTAGAAGAATGCATATTACCTCATAAACTACATGAGATAAACTCTACTGAATCCCACTTTATTTAAAAGTCAGCGTTGAATTTTCTGATTATATTTTCATCACGCTTTGCTATGCCAAAAACAACAGACCATTCTGTCTTGATTACACGTTGGCAAAAATGCCTTGAACCACAGACCCATAGTAGCATGTCTCCCTGCGCACCACAGAGCTTGCTTTCTCCACTCCTATTTATTATTTGCAGTTCAAAAAGAGCTTTCCTTTTTTATAGCCAAGTTTCATAACCAATAAACATTTTTAAAGGCTCATCATGAAAAAAGAATGTGCTCATACATGTATCAATTTTTTTATGCAACCCTCTGAGATCACAAAACGATTTTCTCTATCACAAAATACATTCCAAATCCATCCACTTCTCATCCCCACTGCTATCCTCCTAGGGCATGCCACCATCATCTATAACACTCCAACAGTTTCTTCCTAGTATTCCTCTTTCCCCTGCTATAGTCTGTTCTCTATAAAAATCAGAACCACCTCTTTTTAAAAAGCAGCTCAACCATGTGGGGTGTAGCTCAGTGGTAGAGTGCTTGCCTAGCATGCATGAGGTCCTAGGTTCCATCCCTGGCATTGCAAAAATAGTAATAGTAATTAATTAATTTAAAAGTATACCAAATTACACCATTCCCTTGCTTAACCCTTTTACTTTAACGAGTCCCACTGCAAACAGAATAAAACCCACACGCTTTATCATGACTCTCCTAAATATAGCAAGTTTTCTTCTCATTCACCAGTTTCCAGTCATACAGGCCTTCTTTAGGTTCTTCATACAAAACCTTTCCCCCAACTTTACTTAGTGTTTTTCTTTCTTATCTATTCATCCCCAAACTGGCCTAGTCCCAGTCATCCTACCAAAAATAGAGTAGAAACTTCACCCACTTCATGGACTATACCTTTGTTTCTCTAATTGCACTTACTATTTCTCTATTTCTCCTAATAAAATGTAAATTTCACAAAAGCAGAAATTTAGAACATATTTCATTTTGTAATTATTTTGCATCTACTTTGTGCCAGGCATCATCCTTTAGTTACTGGGATTCAGTAATAAACCAAGGAGACAGAAATCTCTCCCAGACAGTTATATGATCCTTGGGTTTGACTGTACTTCACTATGACTTTTGAAAATATTTTCATTAAACCATCGTTGTGGTCAGGATTCAAAGGTGTGGTGGTTTGTGTCTGGATATCACCCGAGAGCCTTATATGCTCATAGGGTAGGAGCAAGGTTTTCAGAGGCAGCTGAATCCAGAGTCTGTGACTGGTTCATTGCCTAGTGGTGAGATTGAGGTATGAGTACTACCTGCTCCCTAGGACAGGTAGCCTCATACAGTGTAAGGGAGGAAAAGAGGCTTTCTTCTCCTCCTTCCTGCTTTTGCTCTTGTTGCTTTTGCTGTCCTCCATCACCATGAACTGTTACTTCTCAACCATACCACCTGCTTTGGAGCCAGCTGAGTATGGACTGAAACTTCCACAAACTGTGAGCTAAATAAACCTTTCCTTCTTCAATTTTGGGCATCAGGCAATTTGTCTCAGCAACAAAAAAAAGTAACTTCAGACACAAGGGAATAGACTTAATACAGGACACATAATTTATAGGATTATTTTATAACGTTCACCCAAAAAATCAAATGCAGAAAAGCGCAGGAGATCTATCCACACACTAGAGACCCAAAGAATACAGCTGGGTCCTGGATCCTATGGCAATGTCCTGCGCAAGTCCAGCTGAAGACCTAGAGCCCATGGCTATGTCCTCCATGAGTTAAACCGAAGACCTAGAGTCCAAAACAATGTCTCAGGCAAGTCTGTATCAAGGACCTGCAATGGGAAGACCCAAAGGTCAGTGGTGTAAGCTAGAAAGTCTGCAACAGTGGGATGAAGAATCTGTGCCACCAAGCTGAGGGATCTGCACTGGAGCCAGGAAGTGGCACTCAAGGAAAGGACACCTGAGTTTCTGCAAAAAAAACCACAGCCATCATCAGCAACAGCAAGGATCCGAGCTCCTCCAATGATGAGAACTGCTGAGTTCATATCAGGAAAACCAGCATGACAAGCTTCTCCAGGAGAATCAACAGCATCCCATCTTCCCCTCCAGTTTTCCTTTTGTGCTGTTGCAAACAATCCTCAGGTGGGCCTTCTACTCCACAACAGGATGGCTCAGTTCAGCTGGGTGTTATAAGGTGACCATTAGTTAATCCACCATTCAAGTTACAAATGAATGAAATCTACTGAGACTGGTCTCATAAGCAATATTTAAACTGTGATACTGTCAAAAGCTTAGAACTAACTTTAGAGCTGAGTGTTTTCCAGGCTACTTAATACTACTTGTATAGAAGAAAAAAAAAACTTTGCTTCCAAATCTTAAAACTCTTTTACAGTTTTTCATCAATCACAATACCTCTACAAATTTCTACCCTGTCTGCATCCCCCATGTACCACCTTGACAGAGGTAAAAGATCTGAGCTAATGGATACATTAAAATAGTTTGGATATATTGTGAACACATCTGCAGTGTATAAATTCTAACTCAGAACAGTGTAGAGTCTAATTTTTCTCTTTAGTTTTAGAACAGAGAACCTCATCTATTCAATGACTAGTAATAAAACCTATTTGCAATTATCTGTTAGATTTGTCACACCTAATTTAGCACTGCAGCAATTATAATAAGTAAAGCTCAAATGTAAAATCACTTAAGTGCAGTCTCTTTTTTGCTGGTAGGATGCCCTGAGTTCCACTCAGAGGAGCCTATCACTGCCAACACCTTGACAGCCTGCCCATTTGCAGGTCTGCTGATCAGTACTTGGTTATCTTTCTTCCAATCCAAAGAAGACAAATCCTGGAAAAGCACAAATTCACCTCTTGTTCCACAAAAAGTATTCACTCTTGAAAGTTCTCATATAACTAATCCATACTTAATTTACACATTAAATCTAATTAAAGAGCTAACCTACACGTGTGAAAAGATACAAGGAGAGCCAAATAGGAATATTACAAATGCAGATAGTACTAATTTGATGTTTAAATTCATTTCTCTGTATATTTCAGGGTGTTTCCATAGTGTAAATATACAGACTTCAGTTTGGCTTTGCAAAACCATGTATTGAGAAGCACATAAAATATCTGAGGAAGTGAAAGATACTATTAATATTGATTATCAGTTCCAGGTTCTAAGATCAGATACTCATGATTGATACTCACCTAAAGGGCAGTGATATCTGGGAAGATTCAGTTGATCTTTATAACTATGTACTTAATTATCACTTTTCAGTACAGCTGCCAAGGCTACACCAGCCTGACTGATTCAGACTCTCAAAGAGTAACGTTTGGATGCCTTTGTGTGTGTGTGTGTGTGTGTATGTGTGTGTGTGTGTGTGTGTGTGTGTGTGTGTGTGTTCTTCTAAAGCCCCGAGGTGAAGTGGTGATCCTCATGTTTAGAAGCCACTGGTCTTAGGACCTAATGCCAACAGCAGTCAGGCCCTTAAATGAGTGAAGCAGGTGGGCAAAAGCCATATAAAGTAATAAAGCATGCATTCAAATTAAATTTTTTTTAAAAATATTGTGTCAGTGTCTTCTATTCCTCTTGACTTCGTTTTGTTTTTGTTCTGTTTTGTTTCCTTATCTTGTGTTTAGACTGTATTTAGGCTTTGTATTTAGCTGGGTAGCATAAATCATTCATTTCTGTGCCTATAGTAACTAAGGCACAATAGGTTCAATCGAGGTTTATTAAATTACTGATAATGCAGTGAAATCCCAACTCTCTGACAGTGTTAGAATTGCCAAGAAAACTCCTCATTCATTCAACCAAAATTTATTACACACCTACTCTACACAGGGTTCTAAAGACTGAGCTGAATAAGACAAACAAGATCCCTGTCCTGTGGGATTTACATTTTTGAAGCATGGGCACAGAAAGAAATAAACATTCATAAATAAATAAGCCATTTTAGATAGTGATGGGTATCATTCAGCAAGAAAATAGGTGCATTTTCTCTCAAAGGTGTTTAAACCACACCAGTAGTAGTGAAAGGTGTTGGTTTAAAAGGAACTGAAAAATATGCTCACCTGACTGGGGGATAAGGAAGATGCGAGGTCAAGAGTTAAATACCCTGAGCTCTGCCATTCTACCAGTTACAAAGACCCTGAACAAAATCACCAAATCAATCTAATGATCTTGAAGACTGTCTAGCTCTAATGTCCGATATTCAAGGAAAGATACATTAGCAAAATATCATATAGTGTGATGATCACGCCTAATCTCCAGTACCCAAATACTCTGAAGTGTGATTCCTCATTGACATCTACACATTATTATAAATTGAAAAGGTTTTCCAAGCATTTCATGAGTCCACCTCTAGAGTTTACATAATGCCAAACCGCAGGCTCAGGTATTTGTTGCCACAGAACAATGGCTACTGGCACACCTGGATTCGGTTAGGAAGCTGGCACTGCCACAGGTCCTAGGGCAAGGAAACCAAATGTTGAGTTCAAAGTAATGAAAGAATCCAGAAATTAGTCAACCTCCTTTCCTCATTCAATAAACATTATTAAGAGAATGCAATAATAACCCAGGCTCTAGTGGGGAGGGGGAAATAAAAAATAAATAGCACAGGTTTCTCCCTTCAAGACCTTGGTCTGATACATACAGATTCTTAAACTGACTTTCAGAGGCTTCGTGAACCCCATGAAAATAAATACAAAGCTTGGGAGTACATGGGCATTTTCCTAGGGACAGAGTCCACAGCTTTCATCAGATTCTCAAAAGGGTCAGTCCAGGGACACTACACAATATACTTTAACAAACTCTCTCTTTTAACTGTCATATGAATCCCCATTACATAAACAAGGCAGCTGAGGTTTAGAGTAGTTAAGTAGTGTGCCAAAACATGACCAAGAAATGACACAGCAAGGGGCGAAGGGGTAGCTCCTGGTAGAGCTCTTGCCTAACATGCCTAAGTCCCAGGGTTCTATCCCAGCGTTGCAAAAAACCAAAGTGGCATTAGAAGAAATTTAAACCCTGATCTTCCAGTCTCCAAAGCTTATTTTTTTGTCCTCCATGCTATGCTCACTTACAAAGGAAAAAGTATCATTTAAAACAATGAGTAAGTGAAGCCCCTGTCATAGAGGGCCATAATCATGTACTGTTAATGACAAGGCAAATCCAAGCCTACTATTTTCTAGAGGGCGCAGGAACCAACATTTGTTTTTTTTCAGCTTCTGCTTGTGCCCACCAGAATAAGAAATATCAGTGTCCAAACTAAGATATGACTTCAGGGGTCCTTTCCCTTCCGAAGTCAAAGCACAGGCATTGCTTAGCCAGCCCATACCTAAGTTTTCTATCCTGTCGGTCTCCAAGGCTAAAGACAGAGTAACTTTTATTGCACCTCTTGAATTTGGTGGCTATGCATAGATCTTACTCTCCTAGCATGCCTCTGGGCCAAACTCCTGGCCTTGTCCTCTCATATGCACACAAGTGACAATCTGTATTTCACGAGTCACTTAGATAAAAAGGCAATCTGAAAAACATGTACCACACATGACAGAATCTGAAGTAAAAAAATTTCCACTTATATACTGTGGCA